CCCCCCCCCCCCCCCAACTCCCCCATCTACTTTCACCTACAGAAATGCCGAAGTGATATTTCACGCCTATCAAACTCAGGTGCTCAAAGATCCATCTTAAATTCCATCATGTAAACAACAGATCTCTGCTCAATGTTTTCCCATTGATTTACAGCCTGTGCTGTGTATACAAGTGATCTCGCCTCCATAGTACAGAATATAGATCTTCTGCTACAGTACTATGTATCCAGGAGCCCTTTCAGCATGAAATTCCTCACCTCGATTTCTTTGTCTTCTCTACAGCCCCGAGCTGGTTTTGAGTAATCAGTTTGATCTAATCCTCTTTTTTAATCCAAGAAATGACGTTCGTCATTAATAGTCATAAAACAGTCTCATAGTTCAACAATATTCTGCCATAAATTCCCCTACCCCTTCTCTTTTTTGTTCTCTCTCTTTAGGTATTTCTTTCCTAGCTCTCACCAAATTTGTCAGAAATCTTCAATATTTACCTTTAATTCTTCATCATGTTCCCATCTCTTCAAACCTCTTCAATGACTGTTAAATATCTCTCCCTTTCTCCCAATTTCTCTCTTTTTTCAGCTTTAATCCTCCCTGAACTGCTAAGCTCAGTTCTTTGTTACGCATTGCCCACCAAGAATCAATAACTTGGACACAGGCTTTAAGGCACGACCTAACCTAAACTATAACAACACGCCATCATGGATCAATACTACGATGAGTAAACACTGCATTCTTTGTGGTTGCTGTTCTGTCATGTGACAGGCTGAGGAACAGTGAGTAAACACACATGAGGGGGGAAGAAGAGGTTGAGGGAGGAGGGGGGGGGGGGGGAGAATGCTTTGAAGTTGAGACAAAGAAAAAAATGTGAACCTGACAAAAGGTTTGACAGTTGGGCAGGAAAATATATGTATCGGGTTTCAAGCAAACTCAAATATGAGCTGGCGAGATGATTTCTTCGGGGGGTTGGTCTTATCTTGCTATTTTGTGTTCCAGATTTATAGCTTACAGTTTCATGGCTAATCAGATCTGAGTGAATTCTTCCACATTTTTGTCTAAAACAGATTTCAATTATTGATTAAAAAAAGTAAGTAAGTAAATCATGAAGCTCTATTAATCGGCAATCATTTAGCTGGTAAAAAGGTTTTTTTTCGGAAAGCAGTTTGTGTTATGGATTTTACATTAAAAAAGACCTCCAGGGATAATTTTTTTATTGTGAATCCCTGTTAATCACTGACTCATGCTGGCTGCAAGATGATTGATAGCCTGCTATTTGTGAGACCCAACGCTGTTTAATAATAAAACATGGTCAAGTCCATGTCCAGTTTTCCGGACCCAGGTCAACATGTCATCTCCCACTGGACATAGGTCAATATGCCCAGTCCCACTGGACCCTGGTCATCATGACCAGTGCCTAAAGAATAGAAATCTTAACAAAATCAAATCAATATCCACACTAGCAATGATCAAACTACTTTATGCTTTAAAATTACTAATAAAAACAACAGCCAAAATGACATACCTTCAACCTTACGCTACTAAATCTCAAACCTCACCAAGAGCAAATATCCAATCCAGCTGGCTAGAAATTCATTCATTATTCATTCTCCTTTGTGCTTAATAGCACATAGCAGGCATTAAGCATTAGGCATTAAATAGGCCTGCTGAAAGTCAGTTTCTCCAATGATCAGTTGTGTCTTGGCTTTCAGTTAATTGCCCCGTCAATATCTGTACACAAGCTTGTGCTCTCTATGCTTTGATGAAAAATCAATTGAGGACAATTTGCAACTGCCATTAAGTGTTTGTCGCAAAAAAAAAAAAAAAAAACCCATAGGTTAGAAATAAATTATGGCGATCATGCACAGTGACTGATACAAAAATGAAAAATCACTTGTTAAGTACTGCCTAGACTATCATTTGTTATAACATTAGATATTTATGTCGGGATATCAACCAATGAAAAGTTACTGCTGCTGTCGAGGACTTGTCAGAAAAGGGATTCAATGTTTTCATTTTGAGGATAATATTTTACAAATAATGTATCCCCATGTATATTAATAGCCAAACTTCACAAGTTCATAATAATATTCAGGCTCAACTACCGTTCACTATTAATTGACTTTATAACCAAGACTTTTGGAATAAAATTATTTGCTATTAATTGACTATACACTGTTGGAGAAAGTCATGAACAACCTCCTTAATTAACACTGCACATCATTGAGGAAACCATGAACAATGTCTTAAATTATGTTCACATCTATGTGGTAAAATACAAAATCTCTGTTCCTAATCCACAGAGCATCCTCTAGTTAAAGGCATAATAACTCTTTGTATGAGACCTATATTTCACAATAAAAACCTTGTGAATAACTCACAGAAATATAATATATTCTGTTTTACAACAAAAACAGCAGCTATAGCTTTTATTCTGATATTTGAACTTGTCTTTAGACCACGTGACCTCCATTGATGTCTATACTTTGTTAAAATCTCTTAAGAGATTTTAACAAAAAACCAAACTTTTTAGAAAAAAACCAGGGACTAACTTTGAATGTAAAAATGGATTCATTAACCATTGGTAAGTATGGGAAAATTGTTGTTTACTCCAGGAAAATTCATTTTTTGGCCGAAACGAAGAGTTATTATTGCTTTAAGCAGTCATTTCTATTACCACATACTACATGTTGTTATTCTAATGTGAATCATTCGAGTCTCAAAGCTTAGCGCAAAATCAAGCGAGATTTTGTGGGATTTGGAGGAGAGTGGGGTCAGAAATAATGGCAGACTAGCCAGAGAGGTGTGGTCAGGAATATAAGCTGACGGAATTTATCCACCCAATGAGTTCCTGACTGATTTCTCGAAAGTTCGAAAGAAGGAATGAAACATGAAATAAATGATTTTTAATTTTTAAGCATTTTATCAACATTTATCTTAAAATATAAAGTCTGCTGATTATGTTCAAAATTTTAAGTTATCTAATGGTCATTCAAATTTAATATTCTATGATAAATACTGATAAATAAAATATGAAGAAAATTAAAAAAAAAAAAACATTACTTTTAGCAAAGAAAATTTGCTACCATCAAATTAAGGCAGAGATCAAGGAAGACTTAGGCAAGAATGATGTCACAAATGAAATCAATATCTTATATTGTGCCTGTACATCAGAGCATTCAATTTAATCTGCCATAGGTTAGACAATCTGAACATAATTACTTTTGATCCTCTGTTAAGATGAGATGAGGGTTTTCCCTAAGCTTAAGATATAAAATCTGACTATTTCTATAGCGGTGAGTAATTTGCAGATAGGTTGCTAACAGACTGGTGAACTACAACAGCTCACTGTCTCAAC